TAGGAGAATCTACTGGCAGAAGATGGAATATAATATTTATAGGTATGTTTTCATTAGGAATATAGGAATTGTATTGGAATTGTTTTTGTTATGTTTCTACAGTATCCTAGAAGGGAGAAACCAAACACTGGTTGTAGATAGGGTGAGTTTTGTGCCATCATAGTTTCTCATACACACTTCACAGCCCATTCTCATTCCCATGTCATCAAATAGAGACCCCAGTGGTGTTCAGTTAGTTGTAATCTGAACCTTTCAGGTACAATACATATAAAGACATTCTATTTTATTCCCATAGCAGCTGGTGGAAACATGATATAAATCAGAAGTAAGGATGTCTGACAGATAAGTACTCATGCAAGAAACAAGTAGGTGTTTAAAGGAATTTGGAGAAGAAGTAAAAGGCAAATAGAATCTTAAAGGATTGTCGAACAAGACACAAGATGACTATGCGTGTGAATGAATTTCATCTGGCCAGTTGCTCAGTCACATATGTGTGCTTGCTCTCACATGCATCTCCAGCCCTTATTGTCTTCTCCCATGTCCTCTCCCATTATGGAGCCAATGTTAAAAGCTAAAGTGCTTTCCATCCACCCCTCAATTAGATAACAGAGGCCCTAAAAGGCTGCTCTTTTCACCTAACACCACCTAACATGAAATCAGGAGCATAGTGGGAAAGGAGAGGGGGTGGTTTGGGGGTTATCACATCAGCCAACGCCTTAATTACTTTTTGCTCTTCAACAGGCGTCTTTTATCTATCATCTGCAAACTATGGCTTCAAACCTTGACCCCCGTACTATTGGATGCTTTTAATCTAGAAACGTGACCAAGGAATACAATTTTATCACACTCCAATGGTAATTTACAATAGAAGAAACAGAGTGAAGGATATTACATGACATTTTGCAGTCATTATTACATACCTATTTTCATCCAAAGTCAGCAGAGGTATACATCCCCTCACAGTACAACTTTTGTAGTGTTTGGTAATTTTGTGGCTTTGAACGAACCAGCTCATGCTGAGTTGGATGGAGTGGTGGAGCAGAGGGATCATTATATGGAGCTGTCAGTTTATGCAGTCTAACTGCATAAGAGTATTGCTTTTCTCGCTTTTGCAATGGTGCCATTATTGTGTGCATCTAAATGTACCCAAACAAGACTAACTCAATGCAACTTTTTTGATCCACAAGCAAGAGATAGTAATAATGGACACACATTTTTGTATGGCAAGTTATGATAGCTGTAGCACGGTTGCACGGATTCTGTATTATTGTCTTCTATAAAAACTTGAAGACAATAAACAGGGGTAAAAATGTCTCCTGAAATATGTATTCATTTAAGGGATCATTACCATCTGCTCATTTAAGCACAATGGGAATGCTGTATGGTAATATAGTATGGGGTGATCAACAAAATCAGCTCCTCTTCTTCCTACTGCTCTGCTGGATTTAAATCGAACAAAACCAACTGAGGTGGTTGGACAGCTTCCCCAGCAGGTGTGTATGTATAATGCATTCTTACACCTAATAATATATTCAGCCTGCTTTGGCAGGTCAGGTTTTGCTGTGATAGGATTAAGATTCCACCTCTGGTACCCCCCTCATAAATAGAAAAAAATCTAGCCCCTTTCCCCTCAAAGATTTGCTAACAAAAAACAACACTAAAGATAAGAATAAAACAGAAAAGAACACAGTAAAATATTAAATTGTCTATAGCCTGCATGAGTCCTCATGGAAAAGCAATGTGGCCAATCCTCCTTGGCAAGTGTTTTTCCTTTCTATACTGTTGTTATGAGATATAAAGTTCATGAAGAAGTACTTCAAACCCTTAGCTGTGCAGGACTGAACATGGTTGAATATAACCATTCCCCAGGGCAGCATAAACAATCATGTGATATTTTAAACCAGTAATACAGTGGTAGACCAGGGTGCTGGCCTGTAGCAAATATACAGTTGCCTTGGCACACGTTCCTACATGCTGTATTCCTGTCATTTTGCATTAAAATATTCTTTAAAACCATCACTATGAATTATGTGCAAATTCTGTTTAACTCAGGTCTGACATACACACAAAATTGGTATATAGTGTGTACAAACACACACAATTAAGCTGAGTCATCTTACAGCCCTCTTCAGGCTAGAGTGTGTACACACGCACAACTCACGGTGACATTTCAATAAACCTATCAACGACCTCACTCCAACTATCTCCACCCATTCCATATATCAGCTGCATGGGTTTGCAAAGCAATAACCCAGCACAGAGCACCAGACTCAACCATCCACTCAGAATAAAACAGATTTATTGAATTGCCTTTTGTTTACTTTTTTTTTTTGTCTTGGAGCTGCAGTATACTTGAAGGTCATTTATAGGCTCATGAATGTTATACTGCATTTATAGAGCTTTAGGAAATGGCATTTTAAAAAGAATAAAGAAGGGAGTAATGTGAAATAAAACCACCTGAGACAGCCTGGCACTTTTCAGTGTGCATGTGTGAATGTGTGCATCTTTTTATATATATCTACAGTACCCATACTGTTTTATTGGGTATCTGTTTATGCAGTATTTTACCTTATTTCTGTTCTGAATTCTTCCTATGTATTTCTGTCGGTGGGTTTGTCTCTGCCTGCATATGCATACATTCATATACAAGTATGCATACTTTTTATTCCTTTGGACTGTGTTAATTGTTGTTTGTATATGTGGGTGTGTATATATTGTATGCTTTTAGTCTGCTGTGTATACAGTGGACTGTGTCTTAATTGTGCAAATATTATTTATATTTTCCAAAGCCCACTTCTGTCCCTATTCACAGCAGGATTAACTCGCTTCCGTCAATACTCGCTCCTTCACGTTTTAATTTAGAGAGGATTTATGAAATTATATTTCTTTTCATCACAGGCTGAACTGTTTGAACAACTAGATTGCGAAGAGACGGCTAAAGAACCAAAGTACATGAAGTGGTTTTGCGGCTCACCTTCCCACAAGAGGTTGGCAGTTGAGGAAGTGTACAAACTGCAGTTTTCCTGTAGGCTTTGGACAGCTTTGATCAATAATGCCATAATCACTAACAGCAAATCACAAGACATGTGAGAAGTCATAAAACAAATTGATTAGATGATTAGATGACAGGTTGTTCAGACAGACTATGATACTGTTCCTCTCTGTTTGCTGAATCTCCTTGAGGAGAGGGATGAGAAAGATACAGGTGTTCAAAGAGGATAAGTATACACACACACACACACACACACACACACACACACACACACACACACACACACACACACACACACTCCCACATCTCTGCTCATCTCTGGCAGGCTATATCACCACGCCAGCTGTCTGTATTTTACCATTTGTTTTTTGGTCTCTTTTTAAAGATGCACTTTTTTCACATAAAAAAGGAATATTGTATAAAAAAGGAAAAAATAGTAAAAGAGGGACAATTATGTCTGCTGGTTGGCAAGCAGATGCTCCATGTTTTGTCTTGGCAAATAGTGTCTTGAACTATGGCTGTCAACCAAAGTCTTGTTTTGGTCTACTTGACCTCTTTCTGTGCTTCTCTGACCAAGGATGGGAATGGAGTGGGAAACATGTACACTTTTCAGAAACATGCATCATGCTGAGCTTGGCCATGTAAGGGATAGAGCGCTATGCTTTGGTGCTTTATTTGTATTAATGTAATAAATGATGACACATACTGACAGTATTCAGAAGAGGAAAATCCTGTTTCATACAGTGATACAGAAGCAGTTTCCTATCTTTTTAAAACAGCTCAACTTGAAACTTTTCTTCAACGTTGTGAAGATGCTACCTGTGCATTTGTGTGTTTGTGTGTGCATGTCTATGTGTAGGTGGGTGTGTATGTGCTCTCCCCACCTCTCGAGGGGAAGCACTCAGCAGTCCCTCTCCACTAAAAGTGCTGAGTGTGAGGGATGGTGTCAGATGACAAATCTAAGGGACAAACTGCATCTAAAGCAGACATTCTTTATTGTCTGTCCTTCACCCCTCCAACTCTCTCCCTCCATCCTTCTCACCATCTATTTCTCTTCTCTTCATCTCAAATCCCCTCATCTCACCATAATTTGTTGTGCATGGTGAGTAGTGAAATGTCTTCTGTTCTGCTCTGTTCTTTTTTGTTCCGTTCGCCTCTCTCTCCTTGTTTATCCGTCCCTTTGCTTCTTCCCAGAGTAATAGAAAGACAAAAGCAATGTGAAGCTGTGCATCAAAGACATGACAGTGAGTCATCAACCCCCCCATGATTACTGACAGAGCTTTGCACTGTGGGTAACCTCCACCATGAACAACCCTCTCAGTGGGTGACAGCATTACAAAAAGATGCTACACACATGCACAAGTAGTGCACACACGTACACGTACACATATACATTTACACACACGATACAAAGGAATACATATGTATTTACATATACAGTTAATGAAAGTATGTCCGGTCTTGTGAATGAAGTGAAATTGTGAACAAAGCACTGGTGAAAAGATTGTCTTAATCTTTTGGATTATCTATAAAGTGGATGTTAGTCAAGCTAAGAACAGGGCTTATTTGGGAGAAATTGTGGCTTCGAATATAAAAATGGCCCCTCACAGCAACAATATTCTCAGACATACACACAAATACACACTTTGGGTAAAAAAAAAGGATTTACTTTTGTTTATTCAACTCTGTGCAGATTGAAAAGATATTTTTTCAGAGAGCAGAAGTTGCAAAACAGACAAGTGGCATCATTAAACAGTTAAAGGTTTAAATCAGAAATTAATGACATGAATCAATCATTTTCTTTCCATTTCTGTTGCATTTCGTCGCTCCCTCACCCTCTCTTTCTGGCTCTCAGTCTATATAACTCCTCTTTTGTAACTTGCTTTCTCACATCTCTGTACATAACCCCCCCCGCTGCCATCCACTACATCTTTTCCTCCCCTCTACTCTCCCCCCTTTTTTATCATTCTCTCCCTTTCGTCCTCCTTCCCTCCTCCCATCAGTCCCTCGTAGCCTTCATCTCGCTCAGAGGGGGGCCGGGAGCCATGTTTCTACCTAATGATGCAGTGCTGCGGGGAAAGAAAATTTGACAGTTACCAACCTCCTCTCGCACTTTCTCAGGCATGCACACACACACACACACACACACACACACACACACACACACACACACACACACACACACACACACACACACACACACACACACACACACACACACAAATGTGTGTCAGATATGGGCAAGGGTACACTGGAGCCACACTCAGTGTAATGCAACGAAGTTGAGCCAGCTACTTCATGGTGAGGTCGATTCTTATGTTTTGTAAGAGTAACTGGTCTTGGTACACTGGCAGAAGCTGACAGTGTGAACATATGGTCATATATGTTTTCCTTAGTTTAAAGGTCACTTGTAATCTTACAAACATTATAAGCTAGAGACCTAATATTCAGTAATTTAAAGCTGAGGAAGAACCACAGTTGCTCAAGTGAAAGTGATCTCTGGAAGGTAAGAAAGAGGCTTATCCACCTCATAATTTTAATATTATTTTAACCCTCAAGTTGCAGTCAGTATAGAGACATTATGATTGTTGGCTTACACACAAAATCAAACCAATATTTTATTATTAGTTTAACTTGGATTTCCTCTATCAAGGGTCATTCATCCATCTATTATGGGAATCGAGAGAGGGCTCTATTGTTAGAGCTGATGCGAACATTTTCCCCCAAAAATACGGGGAAAAATGGGAAAAACAGAGGAGGGATTGCTGTATTGGATTTTGCAAAGTGAGGTGATTGTCATGGTAATAATATTTTTATTACCTTAGACACCTAACAGTATGGCATTTCCTGCTTAATTTACAATTTTGCACAACATGCATTTAAGAATTGTAGTATTGACTTAAAACCGGTGGAAAACTAAAGTACAGGTGCAGAGGTGATCAAGGGTGACAATTTCTAACCTCTTTTTTTATCACAAAAGCAAAACAAAGAGAATACAAACAATCTGTATGTGGCATCATGATCTGATTCAGATGGAGGAAAGAGAACACATGCCACTAGTGATTGCCATAATGTTTCATACTTTGATTCACTCACATGCAAACGCACTCATTGATTTACAGACTAGATACTTATATACAGGAATTTTATACATGTGTGCATGTATTTACGCGTTTGTGATTGCCTTTGTGCCTTTAATTTGCATGCAGATTTTCCCAGCTTTCCTTTTAACTTAACTCCCCGCTCTCTTCCCCCACTCGTTCTTTGTCTCTCTTCTTGCTCCTCTCTCCTCTGTTTTTTCCTCTCTCTCTTTCTCTGTCCCTCTCTCTCTTTCTCTTTCTCTTTCTAATGAGATGACATGGCTCCAGTGTTCTTCTTCCACTCAATGACAGCCTCTCTGTTGCCAATTAGTGGTGGAGTCGCCAGCTCTCTGTTTGCCTTCAGAGATTACATCTCTGTTTGTGTACACAACCCACAAATGAGACGATCCACTCAAAGGCCAGAGATCTAGTCAACAAATGTGCTATATAGAGAGCTATGTGTGTGTGTATGTATGTATGTATGTATAGTATACACAGTGTATATGCACACTATATATAGACCATGAATGCATTCCTTGTGGTTTCCTCTTGTTTGTGTGGTCATCTGACCACTGGTCTGTGTTGTTTATTTATGTGTGTCTGAATGTGAGAGTGCGTGTGTGTGTGTGTGTGTGTGTGTGTGTGTGTGTGTGTGTGTGTGTGTGTGTGTGTGTGTGTGTGTGTGTGTGTTTGTGTGTTTCAGTGTACTCTCTCATCCACTTTGATCATAGTGTTTATAGCAAAAGAGGAGAAAATTGGTGACAAACAGAAATAGAAGTCCTAAAAACAGGATTTACTGCACACTTTTCAACATTTACAACCTTCTTGAGGGAAATTGGGGATCAGCTGAGGTAAAAGTGGTGCACAGTATGATCACACTTGTAAAAGCAGTTCACCGCTCCGGAAAAGGACATGTCATATGTCAACACGTCTCCATGCAGACTTGGAACAACGCTTCATTCGCTGTTTTCAGCACAAGGTGTGTTAAAGATGTGTTAACGCTAACACATATCCCTGCTTACAGCCAGGTCTAGCAAGGAGTGGTCCTGAGCTGTCAGTTTTTAGTGAATCACATTCCACCATGAGCTGTGCTGTCAAATACTTACACCCTTGAGGGACCCCGCTGCCTAGTAACGCAAAGTCATACAAAGGGCGTCAGACCCATTATGAATTAGACTGAAAATATAAAGTCACATATCGAGTGTATTTTATAAGGCAAAAAATCTTACGTTACTAACAGCTTAAACTCAAAGTAAAGTTTAACATTTTACCTGGGGCTTATTTTCTCTTAGTTCCACACTACCCATTATTTTGTTTTGGTCTAATTAACCAATAAGGTTGTAAATCTAATTCAGTTGAAGTTTGCAAGAGTGTTAGCCCCAGAGATGACCCACCCTATGCCCAAAAACAGCAATACACAGAAGAAAAAAAACAGCTGAATACTGCTTTCTTACGTTTGTGCATTCCTGGCAGTTCCAGGATCAGCACCATGGACAGCGATTGTGACACATTTTGATGCAGTTGTTACAAATGATCCATCTGAGTTCAACACAGCAGCAGGATGGACTTGCAGATTGTAGGCTAAGCTTTTGCAAATAATCTGGTGTGGAATTTTTTTTACAATCAATGAAAAAGATAAAGATGCTGACTACAGTTGTCAGACATAGCCTTTTGTGCAGCATAGGCTTAAGAGTCATGTTACAGTGATATATTTAGTGAAGTCTACTGTATGAGTAAGCATAATGGACACAACTAATACAATAATGATAATTCAATACTACTAATTATCTACTGATAATATTAAAATACTTGCATACAGGCATTGACATACTCACACACAGTTGTTTCATAGCTGTGAGCAAACTGATTGCACCTCTGCAGAGGACTTACACTTCAGCAGCTGCTATTTAGCATCATTACGGTTGAAACCTTCAATGCAGAAGCTATTTACGTGCACAATGATTTACATGCATGTAAATATTACTGTGTCTTTAAACTCCTGGTTAACCTCATGTCTGTCTTTTGATTTACTTTTGAATTATTTAATCTTCTTAGTGATTAATAAGTTATTCTTTTTACAGCATTCAGGGGATTTTGTGATTGATATATAATATGTCTAAACAACTAATTGTATATTTAATACACAATCAAGCGATCAAGAGATTACAGTATCATCATCAAAAGTAGTAGTCAGATACAAGTATCTATTTCTCATTCTCAAGGCCCCAAACAGACCTGTTTGTCACTGCCTGCTAGTAAGCTCATCTGAGTTTGTTTAAAAGCAACAATAAATCTCCTGATATATTTAATTTGTTTGATTTAGAGATGTGTGAGGGCAGTGGCAGCCTGTTAGAGATTTATGAGATCCTGCTCACGTGGGGGCAAATGGCAATCTGTTCAGCGCTGTGTCGCGGCAGAAAAATAACGCCTCTCATAGCAGTGAATCATCATAGCTTACGATTTACTGAAAACAAGCAGTTAATCTGATTCCCTGTTAAATTTTATAAGACACCATAGTAGTATTGTGCCAAAGCTGTGCTAGGGAAAACTGTGAGGTTAAAATAAAATAGGTTATTCTGGGTAACTCCTATCGTGTATTTAATTCAAAGGCACATGCCCTATGTTTGAGGCCAAATCTAATGGTAAATGTTCTATTTATAATGTAGTTCAAACAACAATAACAAAAGTCAAGATAATGTGAAATGACGCCTTGCTGTTGTTATTGTTATAAAGGTTATGAGATGACTAGTCAAATGGAGCCTCAGGAGGTTTAAAGTTTAATATAAGATACAAACATAGAAGTGACCTCTCCTCACATGGCCACTACCTTTGAAATTAAATAGGAGTTTACCAGATAAAGTATGAAGAATAATCTTCCCCAAAGTTAGCGTAAGTTGATATATGTTTTTTTCCCTGCATCACGCTGTATGTCTGTATGTCTGTTTGCATGTGGCATTGTGTCTGTGTCAATTCACTTTACATTAAATGTGCTACACATTTTGGCTTTATTGGAATTGTGAATGCTTTATTTTAATGTTGTGAATGAACTCCAAAGAAAGGAGCTGGCGGAAAAGCTTGTTAAGCCCTTTGCCCATCAAAGAAAACTGTGCCGAAGGGCCTGTCGCTGATTTTATCATTGTCATGCTTGTCGCTCTGGTTTAGGCTTAGGGACTTACATACTGTATCTGTCATACACACATAATCACATCCCTACTCAAACGCTTGCATGTACCTGCACACACACACACTTGTGCATCTGCATGCATCTTCATGTGCATGCACACACTACACTGCAGAAGAAAAACATGCATATGTTCAAATGTGCTCATGCTCATGTTATCACAGACCTATGGAATTACACAGACATAGACACACATGAACTGGAAGTGGAAACTGTACACTACCAAGTGTACAGTGCTGTTGGCTGTTTGCTGTGTAGGATAGCCCCACTGTCTCTTGCTGTGTGTGTGTGTGTGTGTGTGTGTGTGTGTGTGTGTGTGTGTGTGTGTGTGTGTGTGTGTGTGTGTGTGCTTTTACTCTTCATCTCTACCTCCTTAAGAGGACAGTGTAAAAGGACAAATGTCCAATATGTCTTTGTTCCCTTTATGTGCTGATAAAAGGCTTGTCATTGACTGCAGCTACCCTTAGTTACCCTTTGCTTTGTTTCTCTTTATCATCGCTTCAAATCCATTAAATAGAAAAGTGGTCAACTGCTGTCTTTTATACAAGAGAGAAGTGAATGTATAAGGCTTCAAGCTTATTGTCTGTAGCTACACTTGTGTCTGCAACGTTTATATCCTTGTTTTGTCTACTTAGACTGTGCTCAGAGTCAGACGGAACATTTTGTTGCTTTTATATTTTCAGCAGATTTTTTGTCTCGCCTTCCTTTAAACCGTATTTGTGTTTATGTTTGTGTGTTATGCTTGTGTGACTGTTTGAATCCTTGGAGCAAGCACTTGCGTCTGTGTCTGCATATGTCTGCCTAGGTC